AGCCTCGGTGAAGATGAGTGAGGGTTACAAACTCTTAAAAAAAAATTTCATTTTACTAAACAAAAGTCCAAATTTCAGCAACGAGTTCCACAAAGATCACAACTTTGCTAAAACTCTCTTCCAGCGTTAATTATCTTGGTGATTTGAAATTATTTTTCTAACTTTTAAATTTCATAGATGCACTAGCACTTATTATCTAGACAGGAAACATTGCCCTACCAGCAGAGGCGGAGCTGGCCTAAATGGCGCCCTGTGCGAGATCCCCCGTGACCCCCCCCCCCCACACACACACACACACACAAGAAAAAAAAATTACACCTACAACTTTGTTTCAAATGGCGTGGAGTGTATTATATATAACAACGTTTGCTAACTGAATACAACATCCAGCTCCTGGCCACCTTCTCACCACTTGTCAAAGTTCTACTGAAATAGTGATGACGACAACACCTGCCATCGCCTTCATTCCTGGGAAATATGAAAGTAGTTGGCACCTTGGTAGGTCCTCTTCGAACTAGCTCTGTGCGTATGCTGTCGGTAATTGGTGATGGCCACTTGGCTGGGTCTGAAGAAAGAGGCTCATCATCACCTTCAATGGGACTCATTGGTTGATCATTCAGGCTTCTCTATTGACAGAAAACAGAAGCGTAACTCAACACATTGCTATGTGGACCATTTCACATATTCTATTCAAATGCAATATGGGACATTCAAATTTCTCTAATGTTTGCAGGACACACACACACACACACACACTTGTGCAAAACTTACCTGATGTATCTTGTTGGGGAGAAGTGGCAGCTGGCTGTCCCTCATCAAGTTCACATATACTGGTAGGTCTCTCTATTGACAGAAAATGGAAGCATAACTCACCACATTGCTATATGGAACAATTTCCATATTCTGTGAAAATACTATTTAAATGTCTATAGCTAAATGTTTGCTGGTCACACACACGTGTGCAAAACCCACCTAAAGTATTTTCCTGGGGAGATGTGGTGCCAGCAGACTCTCCCTCCTCGAGTTCAAATACTGGCCTATGAGCAGTGGAGGTAGATGGCTGTTCCTCAGTGGCAGCTGATGTCATCCCAAAATATCTGTGTAGGGCTCCTGATGTTGCATAAAACAAACAATACAATCTTCATGTCACGTCTGTTGCTTTAGCATTTTAATTAACATGTTACAATGAGCATTTACAGTTTTCAGCAGTGGTGGAAAGAATTCTGAAAATCTGTACTCAAGTACAAGTACTGTTACATTGCTAAAATATTACTCATTTAAAAGTAAAAGTACTGCTGTTAGAGAAATACTCAAGTAAAAGTAGAAATTATTAATAAAAACCTCAGAGTATTATTTATTTTTAACGGCTGATGTCACCATCACTTCTCCAGACTGGGGCTGCCTGGAAATTGTGTGTTTTCCTTTACCAAAAGTTAAAACACCAACAATCTATTAATCATTAATAATTGATAAAATACAAAACAAGTGTTTTTCCCTCATTTTTTTTGTCATTTTAAGTTTTTATTTCCTTATTCAGCAAATGTCTCCGGCACACAAAAAACTAAATGACAAGAGGAGCCACAACTATTGATTAAATATCCATGAATCCATTTTAACTGGTTAAATTCTTCAACTCACCCACGCTGCTTCAAGGTCACTGTGAGTTAACATAGCCACAGTGTGCAGCACACAACACAACACGATGACATCATCGACTTGTACAGTGCTGAAAGGCGAGACAGTCTCAACTTTCAGCTAAAAAAAAGACCGCTCTTGCTATTATAGTTTTTATTTTATGGCAGTTTACAGTATACACGGGATCTTACTAGCAGGGCACCTCCAGCGGCCCGCTGCTGCTCCGTTTTTCGTGGGGTAAATAATACGTAGCTCATTTCCCGAGTCCAAATAGAAAGGCGAATGGCGCCGGCGCGAGACCTGCCGCCCGCCGTCAATGTATTTCAGCAAAATACTCAAATACTAATTTTAATTTGATAGCGTTTGGTTATCAGCCTTTCGGTTTTCCACTCTTAGCTTTTCATAAAAGCTCATGTGACAAAGAAAAAGCTAGCGGTTGGAAGTACTTCTAAATACATGCAACGTAAGAAGCTAGCAAAAGACATTTGAAGGGATCATCGTAGCACCATGCAAAACGTTCAGATTAGAGAGGTTAGTTAATCAATAAGTTGGGGGACAGGCGGGAAAAATACCAACTAAATAATAAAGAGATGCATACCTGCATCTTTTCCTCGTTTCTCCTCCTCTTCTTTTCTTTTTTTCCGAAATTGGGCACCAGATGGCTTCGACCGCTTCTTCTCCATTATGTTTGTGAGCGGTGATGTGTGAAACGGTACCTGTATCCCTCCATCATCACTCTCCGAGATCCCTCCGCCCCCCACCTGATGAAGGGCGCTATAGAGCGCACTACAGAGGCGCGGCGGACACAAGGGGGCGCAATAAAATCCCAATATAAACGCAAACAATGAATTGTTGTGCTTTTATTACAGAAATATTATTATTATCATCACTAATCACTATTATTATTATGAAGAACATGTGATTTCTATGTTTTGTTGATGTATCGGTTGATGGAAGAAAAAAAATTAAAAATTAAAAAAAAAAAAGAAAGAAATTAAATGCCGCCCCCTACAGACTGCCGCCCTGTTCGGCCGCACATGTTGCACATATCAAGCTCCGCCACTGCCTACCAGTCAGATAAAATAGAAAACATCTCTAGTGTAGACATGGCACCAGATTCGTTATGAGCTGTGGCATGTAGTGAAGTTCATGAATGATAATTTAGTCGTCCCAGAGAGAAACTTTTACCACAAATATAATCAATGTCTTTTAATTCTTCTGAACAAGTGAAGAACCTGGGTGTGTTTTTGTCTCTGAGCTGACTTTTATCCCACACATGAAAAACATTACTAAAATAGGATTTTATCACCTAAAGAACATTGCCAGTGTCCGCACCATTGTCACTTGGTCCAATACTGACACTGATGCATGCTTTAATCATCAGTAGAATAGACTACTGTAATGCCCGGCTTTCTGGTCTTTCAGGCTTACAACTTTTACAAAACTCAGCAGCTCGTGTCCTGATGAAGACCAGCAGGCAGGAGCTCATTACACCAGTTTTAGAATCGCTGCATTGGTTCCCTGTATGTTTCAGGATCAATTTTAAGGTTCTCTTAATGGCTTTTAAGTGTCTTAATCGTTCGGAAATGGGGTGTGTGTGTGTGGGAGGGGGGGGGGGTGCAACTGTCATAATTGTTTTTATATTTTTGGGAAAATGATGGGATTATGGGTTATATGGGGTAATTTTAGCCTGTAAAGCACTTTGAGCTGTACTTTTTGCATATGAAAAGTGCCATACAAATGAAGTTTTATTGATTGATTGATAAGGACAGACTCATTTGGAGTCAGGTGTACACACCGAAACAGAAGCTTTTATTTTACCTTTGACCTTAAATTAAACTTCAATAATACATGCAAAATTATATATATATTTTTTTATTTCAAAATTTTCTTTTTATTGAAAATGTATGACCTGACTTTTATTTGTATATGAAGTCCTCTACTAATGTGAGTTTTGTAAAAATGGTTCTCTAATATCTCCTGTTCCGACTGATAAACATGCTGCATCATGTTACAGATGGTGTCCATGGGGCTCAGCACTGCCCCCTATCAGAGCAGGACAGTACTTTCTGCCTCACCCAGGTTATTTTCCCTACACATTTATGCTTGATCAGACTACATGTCACACAATCAATACATGTATTAGACTGTGGAATGTAAGCATCTAGGGCACAGGTGTAATCAAACATATATATTATTGATATAAAGACAGACAGCAGCCAGCATGTGTGTGTGACACAACACCAACAGTGTGAGGCACAGCCTCACCCTTCTGCCATGTATTTGAGCATGACATCTGTTAATTCAGCAATTTATTTCCCCAAACTATGTAGAAATGCAAAAGAAAGCTAACAGACCATTCCAATAAACTAATACATTTTCTAAGGTTTTTACTTTGTGACAATAGAGGCACTGCCTCACCTGTCTGCCCTTATAGTTACAAAATGAGCCATTGAGGCAGGGTGAGTCTCTGAACAAAGTTCTGCTTGGAAATCGTGCTTTACCTTTGACCTTTTGATCTGTAGCGTTATCCAGGATGAAACCGTTGCTACTGTAATCCCTGCAGAGTGATGCCTATTGCTAAAGACAGCATTCTCTGCAGAAATGCACAATGAATAATTTGAGGAAGAACCTGTTTGATTCTAAACCTGCCAGGTCTAAGTGTGATTCGGCATTTGTGAGATTTTAATTAAAACTTTAAGGAAGTGAAGGAAATGCAGCCGATGGGGCAGAACATCTACAGACCTAGGCAGGAGCTGATTGTTAATGGCTGCATATTTCATCAAACAATAAATAGGCTACTGTGAGTTAAAGTTTTTTAAAAGTTGCAGACTAGGTTATTTATACTATATTTGTTTAGATCCAGGTCTGGGTAATAATAATAATAATAATAATAATAATAATAATAATAATAATAATAATAATAATAATAATAATAATAATAATAATAATAATGCATTGAACTTATATAGCACTTTTCTAGACACCCAAAGACGCTTTCACACACTCTCACATTCACACACTGCTAGTGATGGTAAGCTACTTGTAGCCACAGCCGCCCTGGGGAGGTCTGGCAGCTGACAGAGGCGAGGCTGCCATTTGGCGCCGTCGGCCCCTCTGACCACCACTGACACAGGCAAGTTGGGTGAAGTGTCTTGCCCAAGGACACAACAGCAGGATACCCCTGGCGGGAGCTGGAATCGAACCAATAATAGGTTATTACCCTTCAATAAAGTGAGAACAGCTGAGTCTACGACCACCTGAATTGTGTGTGCGCGGGCACACGCACGTGTGGGTGGGTGGGGGTGTAGAAAGGCGGTGCCTGGATCGGTCTGACGTCAGCAGTCCATTCTCACGCCTCTGATCGGGTCTGTCTGCCTCCTGCAGCACATTCTGGCTCCGTCATAGGCGCACGCAGCTCCTCCGTTTTTTCCTCTGAGGTTCAGACTGCCAACAGCAGCGGGACTCTCTGCTCTACCTGCCGTCGCTTCTTCCCTCCAGGGCTTATTCGGATCCTGATGCAAGGAGGCGTGATGGAGAAGATGTCCCGACACCCCATTCCACTAAACCCGACCTTTCTCCCCCCGACCCCGCACGGAGTGCTCAAGTCCTTGCTGGAGAACCCGATGAAGCTGCCGCTCCATCATGAAGGTGAAAAAGCTCCTGAGATCTAAATATCAGGCTCCGTTTACTGTAAATGCGTTTGTCTGCTCTTTCTAAGAGCCGCAGCTGGGGCAAACTTTCTGGCTGCAGCATCAGTTTGTTTCTTACGGTCACAATAACAACCAGACTCACCTGCATCCTGTGCAGAAAAACCGGCCTTATTAAGATTTCATTGTTTTGATTCATTTTCCATCTGAAAATCAAAAGATAAAAATTCTGTAGCCTTGTCTTGTTCCTGCATCTGGAAGTCCATACATAAAATATTCATACAATAACAACTGAATAGTTGGGTTAATTTGCAAAAACAACTTGTTTCTCCAACTCTCTTCTTAGTTTGCTTTGTGACATAAATAAAGCATTACTGATTTTCTGGCTTCAATAAGTTGGAGAGATTGTTGAATCCTAAAATGATTATTTTGTTGAAGATGCACATCACTTCTGTTTATAGCCTAATCATTGCAAAACTAATATCTAACTTTTCCTGGCACTTTTGTTTTAGCTGAGTGAAGTCAAACATGCACAGCCAATAGAAGGCAGTTTGATAATCTTGATTTACTCTAAAACAAGTCTTTTCACCTATCGAAAAATCAATAACTGAATTTGATTTTCCACACAAGAAAAAGACTAGTTTTTATCCATATCAGTAAACAATATTGATTCTATAAAAGAGACATACCAGATGTGTCTGTTGTGAAAAACATCAGCTGTTCACGTCTATTAGAGGCTGTTTAAAGGAAACCCATGATGTGCATTTGTTACTTTTTCTTTTTCTTTGAGAGTTTGTAGATTATCTTTGAATGAATTAAAGTTCAATCAAGAACTTTTTTGTTGTGTGTTGGGCCTTTGCAAGCCCACATGGCCCCCTTTCAAAACCCAAGCTTTAGCTCTGATCTCTGATTGGCTGTGCTCACTGTGAGGCAAAAAAATAAAAACATTCTGTTTTAAAAATAATTTAAAAAAAGGTACAGATGAAGGACAGACATAGAGGCTCATAACTGAGAAAACTGAATTTTTTTATATTAATTAATGGAATGAATAATGAAATAAGCCTTGACATGTCAAATGTATTTGTGTACCAGATACAGCAGCAAATGCAAAGGTATATACAGAACAAGCCAAAAAAAGACTGGAATGAGGCAACAAAAACGGACAGTTGAGGTCTGGGTGCGTGAAAGAGGTGTGCACATCAATCTGTTCTATATTTTTGTGCATGGGATGTAAAAACTAAAACATAATTCAAACTAATTGTTTGAAGATTGCACAAACCCAAATAAGGGATGAAGAAGTCTTAAAAATTGACTACAATTACAGTTAGCATGTGAACCTCCATGAGAAGATTTTTTATTCTGTTCTGCTTAAGACTTCCTTTTCATCTTCCCCTGCAGCATTTAGCAAGGAGCAGGAGAAAGAGAAGAACCTGGAGGAGGAACGCAGCACCCCTCAGTCAGCGTTTCTGGGCCCAACACTTTGGGACAAAACCCTCCCCTATGACGGAGACACCTTTCAGCTTGAGTATATGGACCTGGAGGAGTTCCTGTCTGAAAACGGCATCCCATCCAGCCCCTCTCAGCATCATGTCGACCAGCACCGGACAAATGCACCATCCCGCCAGCAACACATCATACCCCCAGCCCCACCCACACCAGCACGAACTGTGATGGACCTCAGTAACCATGCCTCCACCTTAGTTCACACGACAGTCATCTCCCCAAACTGTATGCACAGCAGCTCGGCGAGAGCAGGTAACGCTCAGTCAGCCATGGCTGCTGGCTTTATTTACACACTCTTTACGTGTCTTCAAATCACCTTTGGTGTTCTTCAAACAAACTGTCTCTACTAATTCAGAAACAATTTGTCAAAAAAAAGTTTATGTATTATTTCATTCAATTCAGTTCAAGTCCTGCAAGTACACTCGTACAAAATTGTCTTGGAGAACCTCTGTAGCTCTGTGGCAGTGGTACTCAATAGCCCGACCCCCCCATCCAAACTTCAAGCGGGAGGGGTAGGAATGGCGCTGGAGTGCATGCATTCTGCTGTTATATTATTGGTTTGTACAGTGAAACACCAATGGACAGCACAGGTGTGCAGTGGTGTTTCACTAGTTTTGTGTGTTGTGTGCAGAACCACCAGCCAGAGTAACCCAGCTCTATGGCCTCTGTAGCTCTATGTTAACCTGTTGCTCTGTGGCTACTTAAAGCTCTGTGGTCCCAAATATTTACACTGATCACCCAAAAGATCAAAGTTCAGACCAGAGTGTAGGTGGGATTGGTCAGGTGATAACAGCGTGTGCGTGCATCCATGTGTGTGTGCGCGCACTCCTTTGAGTGTGTGTTCACTTCACGTGTGAAGATGAGAACTTTCTCTCTTTGACTCTTTAATCAGTTTCTGAAAAAAAAATTGTACTGAGAGCATGAAGAGACATGTGACCTACCATGTGTGTATGTATGTGTGTGTGTGTGTGAGAGAGAGTGTGTGCGTGTGAGGGAGAGTGTGACCAGGGCTCCACATGAGATCAGTGCTTTAAGAACATAGTGTTCTCTGTAGAAGTAGGCCAGGGGGCGGCAGCTCTCACGTCCACGTTATGTTTACATTCAGCTGATACATCACACACACACGCACACACACACACACACACACACACACACACGCGCGCGCGCGCGCGCACGCACGCACGCACGCGCGCACGCACACACACACAGATTCTCTGAATCAGAGAAGGATCAACGCTGGTGAAGGTTCAGGGTTTGGGTTTAGTTTGACTTTAATTAAAATAATTAAAGTAACATTAATATAATAACTAATTGACAGGTCACCCAAAAAACGTAATGATCAGAAATAGTTTTAGTTGTTCATTTTTTTTTCTAACTGATCAGTTTAGTTTAGTTTGGTTTGGTTTCCATGGATGTAGCGGCACGTAGTGGCAAAACAAAAAACTACAACCACTTAGTCACCAAAAAGGTCAGTTTATCATCTGTAACTATGGTAACTGTGCGCGGTCTGATTAAAAAGATTTCTTGCAAGAAGTATTTAAAAATATCTAAATTACTGTGACAGATTTGAAATTGAAAATTGATTAGAAATTAACTGAAGGTTAAAACAGCTGTTGGAACTAACTGATCGGACACGTCAGTGCTCCAAATCTTTATCCACCAGGAGTTTCAGAACATCAGGTCCAAGCAGGCAGAAACCAGTAATAATCTGCAGCTCTGGGGTCTAAATATAGAAACATAATCTACAGTGTAATCTGTCATATTTGTGTTTCCTCATGGCTCAGTGAGTGATGAGCTGATCAGGCAGCAGATGCAAGAGGTTGAACAGGTAGTGCGTCCAAGATGGAGGCAGCTGGGGTCCACAGGTCAAACATTGTCAATTTCTAAAAGTAACCAAGTGATTTATTAGATTCTGTTCCCCCCATTGAAACTGATTTTAGGATCTGATGAAAGAAAAAACATGACCATGAAATTAAAACAAACAATATCTTTATTAGGTTGTTTAAAAACACAAAGAGTCTGACGACACCTGAATGCATCAGTGTGCCTGATCGAGCGTCCTGCTAACTCTTCAGTTCTACTCAGACGGACATGAGATTATTTATTCCTCCATCAAAAGTATACATATCAAGTTATGGTGCTTTAGTGACTTTGTTAATCGCCCCAAATATCTGTCAGACACTCTTACTGACAAAGCTGAATGTCTGAATAATGAAATGTCAAACCAAACATTAACTTTGTCTCTTCAAGTAAGCAATAAGTTAAAAAAAAAAGTTAAAAACATCAAAAAATTATGAGACCTTAAAAATTTTGGGAACAGAATGTTTTTAAGGGATTACTTACATTCAGATTATTTTATACATCCACAGAACTATTTTATGTTGTGAACTCATTAAGTCTCCATGTGAAGAAAAAGCCCCTCCCCCCACATCAGACAGAGTCCCCTCAGAGACAGTTTATCCGGTTTCCATAGAAACATCAAGACCTCCATCTGAGCATCTCACGCGGATAAAAGCTGCCACGTTACACACCGACACACACGTGTCCTGCTGTCTGTCAGCTCCATGTTTGAGGAAACAAGACTCGTCATGCTCCCACCTGCTCCTCCACCTGCAGCTCAAACCAGCAACGACCTCTGTCACATGACTGACCCTTTGATGCATGAATTATGAAATCTTCAACCATGATTTTTTTTAACAATTTTTTTCATTCGTCTTTAGGTGTGAATGAAACAAATTTCAACAAATTTTTTTTGTAAAATTTAATAATTTACAAATAATTTATTACATGTCCACCTCAGTGGACAGCGTGCATTCTGAGCATGAAATATGTTGGCTTGACTTACTGAAGTCCAAACGGAGGGGCTCAAATGCGATAAAGTCTTCAACAGCTATGCTTAAAAGCAAAAACAAATAAATAACAATTTTGAGTACCTGTCCACTGTAGTGACCATTATGCATCAAAGGGTTAAAATTTCCTGTCATACCTGTTTCATCCAAAGCCATCACAGGTCCATCACTGAAGTTTTAGTACCTTTAACTCTATTTCTGATCTGACGTGTCTCGAGATGTCGGGGTTCTATCACAGAACCAGAACCAGCCCCTGCAGCCTGTTTGTGGCTGCTTGGTTCTGGTTCCTGCAGAAACGGGGGGCTAAACTGAAGATGCTAAACATGTGAGACGGAGACCAGTGTCTGGCTGTGGTCTCTTCCAGGAACAGCGCCTCCCCCCTCTTCATCACCTTCCCCCTGACTTAAGTGAGGCTTCTCTGTGTTTGAGCTTCATTTCATTGTCACGTTTCAGGATCCTCGTGTCAGAGAAGAAGCACAAGAGACTACTTCTAATCTTTTAAACTGGATTTCCATTCAACAAAGCAGCGCCATACATTTTTATTTACAAACTTTTTATAAAATCAGGATTTATGAAATGCAGCATCAAATAAAAACTATTTTTATGAGACTTCTTTGTTACTTTTGTATATGAGTTTTATTTCTTTTTTAAATCAAAATAATCATTTTGATATTTACTTTCAAAATGTTTAACAAAAGGTTCTGAATCCTAAACAGAGAAAATGAATGAAAGAAAGGAAACCTGAATGAAAATAACTCAGCCGTAACTCTGATCTCTGTTCTTTTGCAGGCCTCCCAAGCTCCAGGAACACTCCCAGCCCCATAGATCCAGGCTCCATCCACATTCCGATCAGCTATGAGCCTGACCCAGCAGACCTGGCCCTGTCCAGTGTGCCGGGTCAGGAGATCTTTGATCCACGCAAGCGCAAGTTCTCTGCTGAGGAGCTGAAGCCCCAGCCAATGATCAAGAAAGCTCGGAAGGTTTTCATCCCTGAAGATCTGAAGGTAATTTGGAGCTGGTCTTTCAGTCCCTTCTTTAAAGGAGCTGAAATGTCTGGTTCTGGTTTTGTACTGGTAGTGATAACGTTACTGTCTGTTCTTAATTCTCTCTGTGGTTGGATTTTGAAACATTCCTGGTTAGTTGGTTGCTTTTTGATTAAAATGCAGAAAAATCAGATCATTTAGATTCCTCAAAAGCTTTTTTCCTGACAAACAGCTGAAGATGATGAAAATGCACTCATGCAGTCATCTCACTGATTAGAGACATCTGGCCAAAACGCACACTTATTCATTCTCACAAGTCTGAATACATGTCACTGATACAGACTCCTTTAACACCAAACTGGCTTTGTCAAATATCGTCTTTGTCATGTGCTTAAAAATCAGACTCATCATCTCTAAAGTTGGGTGAATGCATAAAGAATGACTGTATTTTAGCTGAAGCGCCTAGTTTGAAGTAAACACCTTTTCAGCCTTCATAGAAAAACATCTGCAGATTGGATTCCTGTTGTTTCCATCCAGATGTCATCTCACTGATCTAAAGTCTCATCCATCAGACCTGATTACCATCTGACAGCATCACACAGGCTGTCAGTAGCATCTTGCCTCTCATTGATTGGCTGCTGCTTAAGGGGCGGGGTCTCCTGGTTAAGAGGCTTACCTGAGAGTGAATGAGGCAGTGGTGATCCCAGTGATCTCGCCATCTGCCTCTCTGGGCAGTCAGCTTTGAGATCTTTAAGAAAAGTGAAGGACAACTATTAAATAAACACTCATTAGTATAGTTCTTCGATAAAGTTCTCAAACTTCTGCTCATTGCCTCAAATGTTGAGTTTTTAATAGAATTTAAATTCTAAATTAGGCGATGGCGGCACAGGACTTAAGTGCATGCCCTGTAATCAGAAGGTTGCAGGTTTGAGCCCCACTCAGTCTGTCACTTTCATTGTGTCTTTGGGCAAGACAGCTAACCCCCCTTGCCTGCTGGTGGTTGTCAGAGGGACCGGTGGCACCTGTGTACGACAGCCTCGCCTCCCTCAGTGCGCCCCAGGGCAGCTGCGGCTACATCATAGCTCATCCCCATCAGTGTGTGAAAGTGTGTGAATGGGTGAATGACTGATTGTGTTGTGAAGCACCTTGGGGGGTTCCAGGACTCTAGAAGGTGCTACATCAAATACAGGCCATTTACCATTTACCATTTAAATTCAGAAATGCAGCTCAAACACATGTTGGTCTGCAGTTTCAGGGCCGTCCTGGCTAAAGTTTTAGTGAACTTAAAAGTGAACTTGGGTAGTATATGTTGTTGTTCATCACATGATCAAATTAGATTTATTTAAAGATACATTTATACAACATTGTTCAAAATGAGTACAAATACAATTGCATATCATTATTTACTTTTTGATATCAGTAGAGAGAATAAGTAAGTGCCAGCGACTAAAGTCACAGTGTGAAAAAACAGAAAAGCCACATGCTGTTGGTGCTTTCAGCAAGATGTTGAATCAAAGTGCATCTTTGGGTTACTTTAGAACACCTGAAGCATTGGCTGCTTGATGGCTAGTGGCAACCCACTCCACTGGATTGGTGCCATCACCAAAAAGGCTTAGTAGTATTGATGGGAATGAAGACAGACGTGGTCCTAATCAGATGCCTTGTGGTACACCACATGAATTGTTGTGTCTTGTCTTTAAGTAATCCTTCTTCTTTTGTAAATGTTTTCTCTTGAGCAGGATGACAAATACTGGGCCCGGCGCAGGAAGAACAACATGGCAGCCAAGCGGTCCCGTGACGCCCGCCGGCTCAAAGAGAACCAGATTGCTATTCGAGCTGCCTTCCTGGAGAAAGAAAACTCAGCTCTGAGGCAGGAAGTTGCTGACCTGAGGAAAGAACTTGGACGTACCAAAAACATCCTCTCCAAGTATGAGGCACAGCACGGGGTGCTGTGAGGGAGACCACACACACACACATGCACACACGCACACACACACACACACACACACACACACACACACACACACATGCATGCACACGAACACACACAAAGCGTTCCATAGGTCCAAACTCTTCACACAGACTCCTCTGCCTGACACTTGATGTCTACTCTCATGTTCTGACCCCCTAATCCGTCTTATCATCATCATCATTATCGTCATCATCATGTCCCAACATTTAAGTACAATCAGCATCTCAGTCTCTGCCACAGATTCCACCCCTCACAGGTGTTCTCTCACTGTGCGCCTGTTTATATGTACACACCTGCTTCTGGTGATTGTATGATTATGCCCCGCCTCCTTTTAAAGCTGGTAAGCCTCAGCAAGGTTTGATGTTGACAGAAGGTTGGAAATATATGAAAGATTTAAAAAAGTCAGTTGATAGACTGATATCAAGCGCCCTGAATCACCAACTTTTATACCTACTTACCTTAAAGTTTTCTTGGTTTCTTGGCTTAAAATGCCTTCAAATGTGAAACAATTAGAGATTAGCTTTAAATAAATCATTAGTGTCGCTTTAAACATATAAAACTTTTAACACTTTAAAACGACAAGTTTTCAAAAAACATTTACAGCCTCCTGATGGCAGAAAGCCCACACCATCAGGGTAGATGACCTATCACCACACACACACACACACACACACACACACACACGCACGCACGCACGCACGCACGCACGCACGCACGCACACACACACACACACACACACACACACACACACACACACACACACACAAGGAACAATCTGTGATGCTGCAATTCAAGGTGAATCCAGATTGCAGATCGGGTTGATAAATGTGGATTATCTTTAATTTAATTAAATGTTCAGAAATAAGTCCTCTGTTGTGTGTGTGTGTGTGTGTGTGTGTGTGTGTGTGTGTGTGTGTGTGTGTGTGTGTGTGTGTGTGTGCATGTACAGAAACAGTTATGAAGATTACAATAGAAAATGGCCCAATTGAACTAATTTGTTTCAGTTTGTTGCTTTTAAATGATGTGGTGTTCAATATATTTTTCATGATTCGACAAAGAAAACTAACGTGAACTTTGGCGGGATCATAAATGCTGAAATAATCTTTTAAATGAAAGGTGGTGCAGGTTGTAGCTCTGTAAAAGCAAATGCCAGAAATAATTTTTTAAGGATCCCTGGTTAAACCTATGAATTAGTAATAAAATAATAAAGAACTAAACAAAGCCAACTCTAACCTTCACATGTCTGTAGCTGCTGTCTGGACCAATCATGGCTGCAGAAAGCAGAATTTAACCATTTTTTACAATTCAACCTTCTACCTTTCCACCTCTTAAACATGCAGCATCTATTTTATTGGGGGGGGGGGGGGTAATTCTGGTGCTGGGGTTGACACCATGTTATGTAAGACTGAACATTTTTCAGGACTTCCAGCTGAGCTTCTGTTTTTTATTATTTTTTTTTTTTACAGATTTCAATCTGAACTCAGTCATTCTGCTGTCAGAGTAGAGCAAATACTCAGAGTGGCGTATACTGACAAATCTGAGGACCTCTGCAGTGATGGCATGTCACATGACCTTATGCTCACCGTCCAAAGGCTTAACAGAGACATAAAGCAGCTGAATTTTCCCTCAGTGCTAAAAGATTTGATGTTACCTCTTGGTCTAATCAGATGAACAAATCAGAAGCTGCATCAGCAGGAATCTGTCCTGACAGAGTGGAGCTGTGGGTCCAAACAGATGCTACTAGCATTGGATGCTGAATTAATTGTGAACCAGTCTAGCATAACCCTAACCCAAACTGATATGAGAAGCAGAGTGTCAGAAAACCAGTTCATGTTTCCTGTAACACCTGATTCTGTTTCTGCTCAGTCGCTGTTTCAATGAAAACAACAATGAGTCATTTTTTTGTTTTTGTTTTTTAAATAAAACTCAGCAGGAGCATTTGACAAGACGATTGAAGTTCTGCTCACAGTGAAGTGGAGCCAGATGAGGTTCTGGGAGGTTCTGGCCTGAACTGTGCGGCTGGAGCTGTCTGATCCCCTCTGCTGGCTGCATGAATGTAGATTTTAAACAGCTTGTGTTAAACTGTGAAATCACCTCAGATCTCTTTAGACCAAAACCACACAGAGGATATATTAATATATGGAAGTTTAATGTTTATACAGAGTTATTTTTACCTTTTGTACAGTCTGTTTTCCTACATAGATGTTTCTATGTATTTTGGAAACGCTTTCATAAATAAAAACAGTATATATAAATATAAATCACACATTTGCAGTAATTATTAATATATTGTTGAGACAGCAGGCCCATCCTGTCTGGGCAATGCACGGGCATTATGGAGATCCTCCAGGGTTCCCTTCACATCTCCCTTCCTCCTGCGGATACTCAAAATACCTCAAAATCGATCTCAATCACACCTGTGCAGGTGGCACGTCAGCTGGTTGCTATGGCAGCAGGTGCTCCTCCTCTCTCAGTGAGGCTTTGATTGCCTCCTTGTGGATGTTTGTACACTTTCAATCCGCTCAGAGGAATGTATTCCCCAAAGTAAAGTACTTAGTTTGTTTTTCCTTTTTCCTGGTTTAATGTGGTTTCTGTTTATTTTCTTCATCCTGGACTTCAGTTCTCTGTGAGATTCTGTAATTATTAAAAATGTCTTCTTTTTGTCTTTATTCTGTTTCTCCTGATCAAAACAATAAACAAAAATCCTTATCTAAGTTTTGTTTCAGCAACCTTTTTAACTTCAAACAAACTTACGCCTGCTGAGTCATTCGTAGGATACTGAGACAAAAGATTTATATTTAGAAAGAAATTGAAAGAATATAATAAGAAGAAACTATATTTTATTTAATGCCTCTCAAGAGAAAAATCTTGAGGCGCTTCACAAGAACAAAAATTAAAACTGAAAATAAAAAAGATTAAAAAGATGGGAAAAGTAAAAATTGTGATTGAAAATGTGAGGAGAGGCAAAAAGAAAATAAAAAAGAAAGGTAATCAGTGGGTCCAGAGAAAGGCAGAATTGGTAGAAACAGCAGCATGAGGAGAACGTAGTGATGAAGAACCAACCGAAGGCCTGAACAGGTGAGTTTTTAGCTGCTTTTTACCGTACCAGGTTTATTTATGATGCACATTTAAAAACAGCATGACAGCTGACCAAAGTGCTGTACAGTAGAAAAAAAGAAGGAAATCCCAAAATAACAAACAAGATAAAAATTCAGCTAAAAGATGAAAGGGATAAAAAGTTAAAAGAGTTAAAAGATTTAAAAGAAACATACTAGAATGAAAACAAGGCCACAACTAAAAGCATTAAGAAAAATACACTTTTTAACCCTCTGGAGGTAGGTGTTGCAGATTTGCAACGTTAAAACCTACCTACCTGGTTACTCCACATATGTATTTCATGAGCATTTTTTTACCCAGAAGTACCCCTGAAGGACTTAGTCGTTCATCCTTTTGTCAAAACTTATTTTGAGCCTGAGAGGAGACCACTGAGTCCACTGATCTCAGGCTCAGGGGGAGAGAGTTCCAGAGTCTGGGGGCCACAGCAGCAAATGATCTGTCACCTTTGGTCTTTAGCCTGGTGCTGCACAACCAGTAGGCTTTGGTCACTGGACCTCAGGGACCTGCTGGGGGTGTACGGACCGAGAAGATCACCAATGTATGATGGTGCTTGTCCATGTAAGGCCCTATAGACCAGAAAGAGGGGGGCGAGGGTGGGTGAGGGGTGTTCACGGGCAACTGTCTGGACAAATGGGGGCAAAGCTCACCACTAATGCCACCTTAAACTAGCAGAGACATTATCTGCTGTTTCCTGGATGGGTCCATGAATTCTGTCCACGAATGTTAGGTGACAGTGTGACATGTCTCTTGAAGAATCTCCAAATTTTTATCTTGAGAGGTGCCATATATAGTTTTTTTAATCACTTTGCTGCAATTTTCACAACCCTGATGTCATTTTTTACAACTCTAGACACAAAATTCACAACGAGTGATCAAAAAGCACCTTTTTTTCTAAACTCTAACCCTTTTCTCAATTGCTTGGATACAACACACATACAACTTAGATCATTGTTTCATTGAACAAAAGTCACCTGTTCAATTTGACACAACTTAGTAACTTCAAAGTACTACTATGTCAAAAAGCAATTCACTCATTGCGTTTAAAATGAGAGTCTGTTCATTTCCTTTCAATGGTCTAACTATCAATTGACACAACTACTCAAAATGATAAGTAACTGCTGCAATACTCTCAATGCTGTAAGAATAAAGACAAACTATCAAACAATAGGTTCATTTGTAATTTGCTATCCAGTTCTGCCAACTCGTTACTGATGATTGGATGCACATTGTGGAATGAGTATATACTGTAAAGAGGTGATTTGGAGCCAGGTTACAATGGAGGTCAGGCAGTGGTGGGAGGAGAACGAAGAGGAAGACGTGTTGGTCAAAGGGGGACAGGCCCCCCTTCTGAGAGGTGGTCGAGAACCTGTGGCCAAATCCACAACACAGAGTTGACGAGCATAGAGATTAGTTACTGTTTTGTTTACAGTATTACAAGATGGACAGCTGAGACACAGCATTTGATTTTGTTTTCGTTTTTACTTAAACTACTGTAATTACTGTAGTTTTGCTTTGATTCAAATAAACCTATGTTACAAATTGCACTGTGGTGTGTTGGATCAATATAGTTCAGAATTAGTTTATTGATTCCACTCTCTCTGTAGTATTCTCTCTACTACTGCAGTATTTCCCCAGAGATTTGTGGACTGTACATGCAGTACCATCTGTGATTTTGTTCTGAAAGGCAGAGCTGTAAGCTTGTATATTTGTTTAGATATTTTTGTTTCTACTTTTTGTTTGTTGTTTTGGCATCTAGTGTTGGCAGCAAATAAGTATTTTATTGTGCAGAAAAAATATTTCTAATTTCACTTTGCGTATGACAATAAAACCTTTGAATCATTGAATTATTAAACCTGTATCACCAATTTTGTTGTACAATATTAAATGATTGTTCAAACAATGACTTACTGAAACTATGAGTTACTTGTGTGTGGGTGATCTAGAGTTTTGTTTCAATGGCATTTCACAGTAAATTAGTTTTTTTGAGCCAATGTTTGTGCAAGTGCAAGATGTATTCAAACACGTGAATGCCCAATGCAGTGTGTTGAACACATGGGCAGTCTGTGTTACAATGAAATTTGTGTCTAGAGTTGTGAAAAAAGACATCAATGTTGTGAAAATTGTTGCAAAGCGATTGAAAAAAAAACTGTAAAAGAATGTTTTCTTTCTTTCTTTATGCTGTTTCTTCATGAAAAGTTGATTTTCTGTTTGTATGTATTCATTAGTCAAGTGCTGACGGTTATGACTATAGCCTAATTCCTTGGGTATTTACCTGTATTATTCTTTTCTTATTTTTTTAGGTGTATGTGCTGCCTTAACAAGTGAATTTCCCCACTTGTTGGAGTCGATTCTATTCTAGATAGTGTCTGGGATCACATGAAGAGACAGAAGGATGTGAGGAAGCCTCCATCCATAGAAGATCTGTGGTCAGTTCACCAAGATGTTTGGAACAACCTACCAGCTAGTGATGTGTCGGTCGCGAATGAACCGGCTCTAAGAGCCGGCTCTTTGAAGTGAATGACGGGAGCCGGCTCATCATTGGGAGCCCTCCCCTCCCCCCTCCCCTTTTGCTTTGGTGAAAGCCACAGGCAGGTCAGCATGTGTAACTGCGTGTCCAGACCGTCCACACACAGAGCAGTAGGGGCGGGGAAGAGGGAGGATAAGACTCAGACACACAGCAGAGCACATGCGGGAGGAGGGAGACGAGAGGGAATGAGGAGGAGGAAAAAGGCGAGAGAGAGAGAGAGAGAGAGAGAGAGAGAGAGAGAGAGAGAGAGAGAGAGAGAGAGAGAGAGAGAGAGAGAGAGAGAGAGAGAGGAGAGAGTGTGACGAAGACGGTGAGAAAATGAGCGCCAGCAGTCGGAAAGTGAAGATTTCTGAAAGTGTTCAGTTATTAAATCCATATAAATGAAAAATATTTAATATATTGCTTTTTTTACATTAGTAAATCATTTTACATATAGCTTTGCATTATTTTGGTTATAAATGTACTCTACGCAACAGAAAATCTGAGGAGCCACTTGGGAGCCGAAAGAGCCGGCTCTTTTTGGTGAGCTGAGCCAAAAGAACCAGCTCTCTAAAAAGAGCCGGAATTCCCATCACTACTACCAGCCCAGTTCCAATAACAGTTGTGTTCTAGTGTAGCTAGAATAATTTATGCTGGTTTGAAGTGACAGGGCCAGCACAGCATATTTTGATTTAATAAAAATTTTGTCTTTCCAGGCAGCTTGTGTTCATATGTTACACATTTTTCATTTATATTATCTTTTACAGTACAAGTTAAAACTAGGGCCGGGACTTTAACGCGTTAATTACGATTAATTGATTAGAAAAAAATAACGCGTTAAAAAAAATTAACGCATTTGATCACAGCTTGCATTTCAAGCACGGCGGAACCTTTGTCATTGCACGTTTTCCTCGTAGACCGAATATCACTGACGCACACAACAATGCACAGTGGCTAATGGCTACTAAAACGAAATAAAAACAGAAAGAAGTTGCCTTGCTTGGACTGATGCAGGATTTAGGAAACACAACCGCCTCTTTTCTTAACTTGGAAAATAAAAACTTCCAGACAACAACGGAGTCCGTGTCGCGGACATTTTTCAGAGCTCTGCTGCGGCTGCCCGCCCGGTGGCACAGGAAACTTTACAAAAGTTGCGGTAAGCTATGTTTTTAACATTTACGTAACATCTGTGCAGCGCTGAAAGCACCAGACAATAATTCTGTGCCCTAACAGTAGTTTATGAAAGTAGGCAGATAAACGAGAGGCACCTGGCTGCCGCTGGGAGAACGCTCCGTGTTCTCACTACTCTAAACAATCACAAACAACGTGTCTTAAAGTTGAAAACAGAAGTTTAAGTTAAAACAGAAATAATCTGAAACTTTTCTGATGATTTTCTAAACAATTCTGTCGGGGAATTCTATGTTTCTGAGACGAGTCGCTGTCTAAACATCACATGCATTACTATCAGGGGCAGCGAGGAACGAGGAAGTTGTGTTCAGGCTGGAGATCACACCAGATTCGCTGCAGCATGTGTGAATCTGCGGGTCGGCAGCATCCCCTTATTAACGTGACAGCAGAACTTCCCATGTAAGGAAGGTCTGCTCACCTGTTCGTCAGATCATTATTTCCTCGCCATGATCTTATAACATCCCATCAACCTCCAGTCATCCAACTGGAACCAGTTAGTGTTCCTGATCATTCTCAGAATATGCCATGCCTGCTCTGGTGTTAAAAGTTAGTACATTTAAGTACTAGATCATATCTGTGCCTGTTCTACTGTCATTCTGAAGGATTATTATTTGTGTTTTTACTACTTTATGAGCAGAAATGCTAATACAATCTCCCAATTATACAAACAAGTGAAACTGGAAAAATTAGAATCTGGTGCAAAGTCAAATTTATTTCAGTCATTCAACTAGACAGAGAGACTATTTAAAGGCTCAGGAACCATTTGCAGGTGTTTTCTATTTGTAATTATGAATTTTAGTTGATTTGGGTTTTGTTTCATATCACACAGTGACATGTGAATAACTAAAATGCATTTTTTATTAAAAGCTTTAGTTTACAGTAATAACCATGTCTAATGTTTGATTCTCTGTCTCATAATTTTAATTAAAAGTTTTACTTTGAGAGTGCATTTTCCTGAACGATTAAAATGCGATTAATCGAGATTAATTAATTACAAAGCCTGTAATAAATTAGATTAATTTTTTTAATCAAGTCCCAGACCTAGTTAAAACATTTGTAAGATGTTGATTGCATCAGAACCACTAGATGTCGCCATAGCACTATGTACAACAACAGGTTTGCGTTGCAGACAGTGAATCAAAGATTTGTTTTCAAATGTTCATGAAATGCGAGTTTTGGGCTTCTGTTTCTTTTTTGTGTGGATATTTGTTCCGGAATCAAAGTAGAAAAAGAACATCTACACTCGGGACACACACACACACACACACACACACTCACACAGGATTTTCCAGCACATCGAACAAAACAAACCCTGGATGTTTTTAATGTGTTGATCTGGTCAGAACTGGACCTGTTGTCATCATGTTGTCGTTATATAATAGCACTCTTTCAAAGTGATGCGCAGCAGGTTTTTCCTCTAATCCTACCAGTTCAGACTGACTGCACACTAGGTTCTGCAGCTTTTACGCAGAACACCGGTACTCAGGTTCTGACAGAAAAGGTGTTGCAGACAGTCTTCATGACAAATCACATCTTAACTTAAAAAGACATGAAGAGATGATGCAAACAGCAACTGCAAGAACACAATTTAAAAATTTAATCTAGATTTATTTTTCAAAGTCAGTCATTCCTTTCATGGATCAGGTCAGGTGGCGCATCAAAATCTCCTTTAACCACTCATTTGGACTACTGCAACTCACTTTATTGGGCCTGGATCAGTCATCTTTAAATAGACGCCAGCTGGTTCAAAATGCAGCGGCACGCTTGCTGACTGGCACCAGAAAGCGTGACCATATAACCCCAGTGTTGGTATCTCTTCACTGGATCCCTGTGTACTACAGGATTCATTTTAATAAAGTCCTACTTTGTTTTTGAGGCCTAGTCCACACGTAGCCAGGGTTTTTTAAAAACGAATATCCGCCCCTCCAAAAACTTGCATCCACACCACCTCGTTTTAAAAACAAACTCTGTCCATACGTACCCGGATAAATACGTTGTTAAGGGCATGCCAGACCTGTAGGTGGCAGTACTTCCCCCGTTCTTAACCTCGTCCTTCGTCTGTGGTCTTCCGCAAGGAGCAGTAATTCCGCTTGCAAAAACAAACAAGCAAAAAGCGCTTGGACAACTGATAAAGCGAGCGCAGCTCTGAGGGCATCCATGCTGTCGGCTAGTGTAAACACAGGTCGCACACGTGATGTCAGCATTTTTTGTTGCGGAAAGTGACGTTGCGGACCTTAAAACTCCGGTTTTGTCTGTCCACACGCAGACACCCAAAACGGAGAAAACGCAGATCTTCACTTTGGCCGGAGTTTTTAAAAAGATCCGTTTTCGTGTGAAAAAACTCAGTTTTCGTGTGGATGACAGGCCAAAACGTAGAAAAATATCTACGTTTTGGCAGATCACCGGCTACGTGTGGACAGGGCCTTAAATCTCTTCATGGATTGGCTCCACCATACATCAGCTATTGTTCATCTCCCCTTAGAAACACGAGATCTAGCTTGCAGTCTTTTGTTCCAAAAACACGTTTAAAAACTTGTGCAGACAGGGCTCTCTCTGTGGCCGGTGCTAGGCTGTGGAACAGCCTTCCTGTGACTGAGAGCCACACACAACATAGAGCATTTTAAATAATTACTTAAAACATACTTGTTTGGTCTGGTTTTTAATGCAGGTTGACTTGAGTAGTTACCTTTTGTTTTATTTGACTTGTGTTTTTATCTTATACTCTTTTAACATGAAATGCTTTGATATGACTAATTTTAACCTTGATTTGACCACAATTTGTTCTTTATTGTGTTTTATTTGTATTTGGGTTTTTTTTTACCCTTGTTCAGCACTTTGGGGTTGCCTACGTGACTGTAATTGTGCTACATAAATAAACCTTGACCTGATGCAAACACACCCACAAAACATCTATACAATCAAAAACACCATTTTAAAGTTGTGTTGTTTTATGTCATCAAATGGAAAATACTGTTAAAAAGCACACAACGATGTCCTTATTAGATTCAGCTTGTTCATTAAAACTGTCACAATCTGCTCCTGCCTCCCTGACTGTGTCTCTCCCCTGCCTGATTAGTCTTTATTGTTCTCACCTGCCCTGTGTTAATCCGCCCATGTGTTCCTGATTTTCCCCTGTGTATTTATACCTCCCTTCTTGTATCAGTCTTTGCCGGATCATTGTTTGTTGTCAGCGTTGTTTTTGTTCAGTCGTTCCCGCTCTGCCATTAAAACTACTTTTATTTCATCCGTGCCTGCATTCCTGCCTCCTGATCTGCTCCACCACACATGGTCCGCCGTCATCCACACCCTCAACGTGGCAAAAACATAATAGTTATTATTTTACTTCACACAGGTTCATCTGATTCTTTTACATTCACTTGAACCCAAAATGGCAATTTTTTTTCACCAAGGAAGTGATGGATAATTCATAATAACATGTTTAATATCTGCTAATAATGAGTAAGGTCACAAAAAATGGTGCTATGTTGTGGTGTGTTACACTCAGAGTGAACGAGGCAATTATTCCAGTTTTTGATAACTTTTAGGAAGTACAGCTACAGCACTGTAAAAAAATTAAATAAGAAGATGTGTGTGTGTGTGTGTGTGTGTGTGTGTGTGTGTGTGTGTGTGTGGTGGTGGTGGGGGGGGGGGTGCATCAATGAACAGACTACACTGACTAGCTCTCTTCTCTGCCAGCTCTGCCACACGCACCCCATTTCCAAGGCAACAAACTGATGGTGTTCATGCTGTGAGAGGTTGTATCTAAGTGTAACTGTGCATAACATAAAAACACCAACGCAAAGTGATCATGACTAATAAAATAATGGTTGGTTTTGCCTTTTAACCCCAACAGAGAAACACTAACTGTTTTTAATGGTGCATCAAATCAGGGTAAACCACAGCTCCAATAGCTCATCCAGACAGCTCATAGCTCTTCTTGGTTCTCCATCAATTTCATAAGCTGATTTTATGATTTGAGGTGTTTTTGGACCCTAAAAATCACACAGAATCAGTGTTTTTGTGAAGCTTAGAGAAGAATGGTAGCACCTTGACTGAATTCCTGACTTGTAAAGATCTGCAAGGTTTTCTCTGTTGGAATAAACACGTTTTTGGTTGAATGTTCAGTATGGAATTGATTCTGAGTGATACTTCGAGTTTAGATGAATCTGAAAATAACAATATCTCTAAAAAACCTGAAGCTTACATAACCTCTTCCCCTCTTGACTGTACCAAACAGGCACAACAGGAACACAAGCACAAAGTCCTAATGCTCTGCGCTGGTCCAGTTATAATCCTCAAACATGAATATGAGAGGGGGGAGGGGGGGGGGGTCATGTTATGGGTGGGAAGAAGCCATTGGTGCCTCACTCACTTGGCTTGCCTTTTGTGATTTTATATAAGAGGATTTGTCCTAATATCAGCGTCAGTGACACAAGCTCTGTAAAGGCTCTGGACTGGGTCTAACATCAGAGGCAGAGAGGGGAGGTATGGGCCCACCTACCTGGTGAAGAGGGGATCTGGCTTGGGAGGAAAAGCTTACCTGGCTTCCTTATGGCTCATATTTTTGGTTTGTAATCAGACGTTTGCTCAAGCTGCACAACTCTGCAGCAGCTTTAACACATAAAATGAGAACTCAATGAAAATGACCCTGACAGAAAACAATGGGCCATTCCTTGCAGATGTTTGGTTCTGTCTATAAAAAAATAAAGATATAACCTCCTTTTTTTGCATCCACCCATAATTTAAAGTGACAGTGTGTATTTTACTTTTAATCTCTGGAAATATCCATCAAAAAGTTGTCAAAAATGAATGAAATGATGTCCAGTCATTGAAAAATATTGGTGGATTTGTACAATATTATCATAAATATTGCATTTAAAGTACATAGGGCATGAGTCTAGGGGACGCCATATTAGACTCCATGTTACCACGTTCAAAAACAATTAGGGAGTAAGAAACATGAATTTGAACAAAACTGCCAAACTCTTTCCAAAACATATGTGAAAGAACAGACTTAAAATAGAGATGCTAAATATTTTGGCCAAGCGGTATTGCTGTGGTGTGATGATGTCATCAGCAAGCGCAGGACCATGAGTAGATCCAGAAACTACAGCGCCAGAAAACTAGCATCAGCATCGCATTCTCTCGATGGAATTAACTGAAGGACCGTCTCAGTCTGAGGGGTCACACCAAGGTTGCATCGTGCTTTCCGCTCCACAGGTAAAAACATTTACCGTACCGTATTTTTTAAAATTAGGAACAGTCACGGCTATCTGGTGTGAAACTACCCTGAAATGTATGTACTGCCCCTAGTGCCAGCAAACTACACACTGCCATTTTAATGGACTGGTTTGTTCCATGATGCTATGAACAGAGTCTCTGTAGTCCAACACCAAGATGCTGAAGTGGATCTTTTGCTTCTCGATGAACATGGACTGGAGATTCCAACGGACCCTGTTTCTGGATGTTCTGGGATGTTTATAAACTGGATTCACGGAATCTGGTTGGTCTTCAGCATGTTCAGCAGGAACATTCCAGCTGTAGCTGGTGATGACACGTGGCTTTGTCCTTCACCTCCGTGTGTTCTGATTGTTTCAGAACTCAAACAAATTGCATGACATGTTTGGATTTTGTAGAAACAGTAACATTTCAGTGATGAGGCAAAAACCACTATTTGTATTTGACCTTAAACTGAAAACAAGAAATGCTTGAATCAGAAAAGCTATGTTAAATGTTAAAAACGTTTGATGTGAAGTAAAGTCCCCACCGCCGATGAAGACGGACCTTCTTGTCTCTTCTTCTTCAAAAAAAAAAAAAAAAAACTACATTTCACGGTGACTGTTTTTTTTCTCAATGCTCTACCTGAGGAGCTTCATGAAAAACATATTCAAGACCAGATCTCTGGAGCAGGAAGGAAACCTGTTTTAAATTAAACATATTGCTACTACATTCAAAATGAAAACTATTCCCTTTCCCTTCCACCAGCTGAAGCCACAGAGGCCATGTTTTCTAAATGACTTTGCCCCACATGAAAGTAATCACACAGGTGAATCCGCTGGTAAAGGATGAAACTATGAGATTTGAGCAAATTCTAAAATAACTTGTTTCTGGTTTTTCTTAAGGAATCAGTGTCCATCTGACCCCTTGTAACTTCTGCTGGTTTCTGGAGTTAACTGACAGAAACCATGTTGACTTTAGCATCCATCCTGAACATGAAGCACTGTCAGTCTCTCAGGATGGATGCTGCTGTGTCGCCTCAGCTGATCACCATCTCTTTTCTGGTTCTTTGTAGTAAAACTCACTTCCTGTTTCAGTTTGAGGCTGAGAATACAAACTGAACAGGGTATGGAGATGATGAGGCTGATGATGAAGCTCCTGATAAGTCTGACGCAGAATCTTGAGCTTCTGGTGCTGCTGTGACCTCGCTGCTGCAGGACGGATGGGAATTCCCTCCACTGACATCACAGGCAAATGAATCCTGGGAAAACCTTGAAGAAACACAAACAAAAGTATTTTTGTTTGAATAAATAGGGAAGTGCATAATCAAACTTAAACTGTTCAAATTATAGAACTGCTCAAACCACCAAATAGTTCCTGAGCACAGCCACTGCTGCAGCTCACAACTCCCCAAGGGGATGGGTCAAATGCGGAGATGTGATTTCACTGGTGTGTGCTTTACATTTTAGCTTTGAATATTTGTCCTGCAATTTATGAAATAAAAAAAATTAACTATTTCAGAAAAAAATTACGAAATAGTACGATGTTCAGGACTCAATCATATCGTGTATCAGCTGTTTCAGTCTCTTTGATGTATCATGTTGTGTTTATTAAACTTCATACTGAGCATCACATTGTAGAAAGTATCTGATTGCATTATTTAGTATCATATACTTTTGAGGATCACACCAAATATCACTAAAATAATGTTATATTGTATTAATATCATTTTGCATTGAACACCAAGTATTTTATTAATAACGTTTCTGTTCAGGCACTGGGTCACGTTGAATGTTGGATCAGGCTTCATAGAAAGTGCCATGTTGTACTAAGCATTGAGTGTCTCTCAACATTAAGGGTCATATTGTATCAATATATCATACATATTAAATGCTTTATCACTCACAAACAATAACTGCACAGTTTAAAATGATCAGTTTTACAATTAAAGACAATTTTAGATATTATAAAATTGGATCTGATTTTGTTTGTGAAGATAATCAAACTGTTACTTTTCATTTTATTCCATCATTTGAAGGCTGTGTTACTGATGCACTCATATAATTTATGTTTGAGTTTCATTATGAATCAGTAATCCTGAAATCCCCAGTGAAGGTAAATGGTAAATGGTCTGTATTAAATGCAACACCTTCTAGGGTTTTACAACCCCCCAAGGCACTTTAAAACACAATAGTCATACACCTGTTCACACACATATTCATACGCTGGTGTGGATAATAATAATAATAATAATAATAATAATAATAATAATATATGGTAATGGTAATGGCCTGTATTTTTATAGTGCCTTCTTAGGGTTCTACAGCCCCCCAAGGCGATTCACACCACAATCAGTCATTCATTCGTTCACACGCACATTTACACGCTGGTGGTAATGAGCTACAATGAAGCCACAGCTGCCCTGGGGCACACTGACGGAGGCAAGGCTGCCGACCACTGGCACCACCAATCCCTCCAACCACTACCAGCAGGTAAGAATTCCAGAGGCAAGAAGCAGAGCAACTGAAGGATCTGAGGCTTTGGATAAGGTGGATTTTGTTCCAACAAGTTAGTTTTCTGTTTTTTTCACTGTTTAATTTGAGAAAGTTAGTGGAGAACCATGATTTCATCTCAGTTAAACAGAAGGAGAGGGAGGAGGGAGGGACAGAGGCTTTAGGATTGAAAGACAAATAGAGCTGGGTGTCATCTGCAAAGCAATGGAACTAAATGTGAAATTTCCACAGTTTGTGACCTGGCGGTAGATAATGAAGAGAAGGGGCCCAGGACAAAGCCCTGGGGCACACCTCTAGTAACTGGGGATAGCTCGGATCTGAAGGATTTGAGTTGTATAAACTGAGAACAGCCAGAGAGATAAAAGTGGAACCAGCTGGGTTCGTTGTGGGATGCCCATAGATGAGAGCCTGCCAAGAAGGATAGAATGTAAAGCCTCATTCATACATCTCCATCTGCTTCACGAGGGAGAGACACACATGCGCGGACAGGGACGTTTTGCTCTCTCACTTCTCCATCTCCTGGGGAGTGTTGCAAAGCAGTTCCCCGCTAGGACAACAGAGGGCGGAGAGCTGTTCTCTGGTATCCTGTCATGTATCCGGTCCAAGATAGTGTGTTTATATTGTGTTTTTTTTGTATTTAAGAAACTTTTTAACACGGACAAATTTGTCACTCATCCTCCTCCACATTCATGTGCTTGCCACCTCTAAACGCATGTTTCCCGTCATTTCCATCCACAAATAAAGCACTTGCTGTGTATCTTTGCACTCCACAGTCAGGTGGATAAAACGTTCATATTTTTTTAGTTTTTCCACGAGTATTCTTCAAGCATCTTCGTATCTGCCGCTAGATATCTTTGGCTCTCTTTATGTTTTTGAGGGCGTAATGGCGATGCTGTTGATGACAGCAGCGCCCCGACCAATCACAAGCTTGCATTCTCCTTCTTGTTGGGTGGATGTTTAAAAAAGAGAGCTTGACTTCGTCTGTCCTTGCGAGCCTGATGGAGAGCCCCAGAAAGGACGGACAACGGTGTTGCGTGTGTCCGTCCCAGCGCAGATGGAGAAGTGTAAATTAGGCATAAGATGGTATCAAAGGAAGAGCTCAAACTAAGGAGGATGAGGATGGAGACTAAAGCTGAGTCAGCTGCAGTAAGAAGGTCATTGGTGAGTTTTACGAGTGCAGTTACAGTACTGTGAGCAGGACGGAAACCAGACTAAAATGGTTAATAACGATTGCTGAGTGAGAAATGAGAGTGAAGTTGAGAGGTGACAACTTTCTCCATAATTGTTGATACAAATGGTAAGTTAGAAATAGGGGATAACCTGTTTTTTTCAGTATGGGAATCACTGCAGCAGTTTTAAGTTGAGATGGAAATACACCACTAGTGAGAGAGGAGTTAATGATGGCAAACTTGATGGGAGTGAGACGGCAGACACATTTTGACTAAAGTGGTGGGAATGTGATCAAGACAGGCGGTAAGTTTAGACGAACAGATTAGATCAAAGATGTTAGAGGCAGATCATGACACTGACGGCAGTTGGGAACTGAAAAAAGGTTGACAGTGTGGAAATGACAATGACTAGAGAAGACGTGAAGGACCAGGGGATAGCTGCAGATGAATACAACAAAATGTTTCATTGAAAAACAGTAACAGAGTCTTCTGAGACTATGTAGTTCACCAGCAGCACTGTTTATAGGGGTTATAGGGGTTCTTTGTAAAGTATTCCACTCTAGTAACAGCAGTAGCCCAAGAGGTAGCGCGGGTTGTCCAGTATTCAGAAAGTTGCAGGTTCATTCCCGGCTCTACCAGAGACCTGCTTTTGTGTCCTTGGGCAAGACACTTAACTAGGGTTGTCACGGTAACCGGTATAGCGGTAAACCCCGGTAAAAAAGTTGACAATAAAAATAACCGTCCAGTTTTTAAAAAACTATATTATCTCGGTGGGTTTACCGTGGCCGCGGTTTAGCCGCGGTGACCCTTACCAGCCACCGTCGCTTCTGCTGAAGTTCTCGCGCACACGCACTTTTTAGTTTGCAACCAAAACTTCGAAGCTGAAATAATGGCAGAAGGAGGAGACGGCAGCACCCAGGACATCCATCAGCCCTCAAAGAAGACTAAATCAGAAGTATGGGCATATTGTGGATTTCTGAAAAATGCTGAGGGACAGTTAATAGAAGACGGCTATCCCGTTTGCAGAACGTGCAGGAAAAAAGTGTCTGCAAAAGGCAGCAACACTTCGAATCGAATGACACATCTGCGTGACCATCACCCACGTCTCTACAGCCAGTGCAAGGTAAGTTAACATTTGTTTAAAGTGGCTATTTATTTTAAATACATATTTTTTTAAGGTTGACTTGTACAGTGCTCAAGTCAAGTGTGGACTGGAGTTTTAGATTTTCATTTTGATAATGAAGAAAACAAGTATATGAGAAAACAAGTGGTGTTTCTTTCATTTGTTTACATATTGTTTATGTTTTGAATGTTTGGATTTGTATAATTTAAACCTGCACTGACTACTGTAACATGTTCCAGAAAAAGAAGCTATTTGTTCCTTTACTTGTGAAAAGTTGCACTTTTGCTAAGGCTTTGTGTTATTTTAGGTTTAATAAACACTGTTAAACCTTTTCAAAACTATTTCAGTTTGTGTAGAGCAGGACTATCAATGCTTTCTGAACATATGCAACACCGTTTAAAAAATACCGCGATAATACCGAAAACCGTGATCATTTTGGTCACAATAACCGTGAGGTTAAATTTTCATACCGTGACAACCCTACACTTAACCCACCTTGCCTGCTGGTGGTGATCAGAGGGACTGGTGGTGCCTGTGTTCGGCAGGCCTCGGCTCTGTCAGTGCGCCCCAGGGCATTTGTGGCTACATTGTAGCTCATCATCACCAGTGTGTGAATGGGTGGGTGACTGAATGTGTTGGAAGCGCCTTGGGGGGTTGGAGAACCCTCAAAAGAAGCTATACAACTACAGGCCAATTACCATTTACCATTCTTCAGTAAAAGAAAAAGGGACATTTCTTTTTGTCCAGAACCCCATCTCGAAGATTTCCCTTCAAACATCAGCAGCTGTTATTTCTCTTATCAGCCTCTTTCGTCATCGTCCAACAACTCTGCTAACTCCAACGTCTGCTGCCAGCTACATCTGTAAACTTTAACCCCCGAACACGAGCGTCACAGGGTAAGTCCAGCATACGTCAAAGGGATGAGTGACGATCTCGAGCCATCCATCCATTAATTTCCCTGTCCTCTGAGGGTTTATGTTGTCAGCGAGGTGATGGAGGGGGTTGGGACATTCAGGGGATTACTGGCTGCTTCATGTAGCAGAAACAAAATCTCAGATCCTCCAACATCAGTTTGACATGGCTGATGTTTGTCCTATCCTCTGTGGTTATCACACCTCTTCACATTCTTAAAAAACAGATGTTCAGGTGTTCTTTCCCTGCCATTTGCATCACGTTTGATCTAATACTCCCTTTGTTCTTAAAGTTACGGGATCCTGATCAGCATCAGGATGTTTCGTGCATATTATTCATGACTTTTAGTCTAATGAAGCTTCCTATATATTATATAACATCACTCAAATGCATGACTGGAGCCACTGGATGTTTTAAAGATTAGAAACCATTTTTGAACTTACTAATCAGTTTTGATTTGACTTTAATCTTCTTAAAAAGGACCAATCAGCTGTTGGTCCTTTTGCATTTGTCAAAATTGATTTCTATACATTTGTTGATGACTGATGGATTATGCTGCATCTGCTGTGTGGACAGGATGAACAGACAATTCTTCAACCACAAGGTCTGAATACATGCAGATGATTAAACATAGTTGGTTGTAAATATTTTAGACAATGAAAAACTAAATTCTGAGAGAGGAAAAAAAACTAGACTTTTTATCTCGATTTTAGTCAAAAAAATTGCTTTGCTTAAAATAAGAAACATTTCTTATAATGATCCAAATATTCTCAAACCTCGCAAATAAATCTAAATTTAGATTATTTAGCTAGTTTAAAGAATTCTAGCCAAGCAAGTTTTGGAAAATGTGGGTCATATGTAAGAATATTTACCTTAATGCAGATTTTCTAGAGATTAGTTTTCTTGTTAGTCTAAAAATATGATATATATATATATATATATATATATATATATATATATATATATATATATATATATATATATATTTACTTTATTTGCAGTGTAAAACTTTACTACAAAAAAACTGAAAAAATCTCACGTGAACATCTTACTCATCATGTTTTTTTGTTGTAGCAGCAAAACCATCCAGACTCTGAGGAGACATTGAGGTTAAGCTCAAACCTTTTAGATTATTTAGTTTATTTGTTTTTATCTCCCTGCTGCTTCACAACCGCTGACTTTATGTCAAACTGAATTCATTATGTTTGTAGCCTTTGACCTTTATTGGACCATAATTTGATCCCCTAAAGGTGAATAAGACTCAACAAAGCCCTAAAGCATGTGTTTAGAGATTTGATCTTCTAAACTGCAGTTTCCAACTTCTCACATTTAAAAATGTTCTGCATCTCTCAGATTTACATTCTTGTAAAATGAATTTATTTGGATTTTAGAACTAGTCTGAACTAAAGTCAAATAAGAAATATTTGTTTAATCTGCTCACCTCTTGTTGACTCCACAGCATACCGTTAACACATCCACACAGTCACAAAATTAAAAATGAGTTCAAAATAAAAACAGTACAAAGTGATACAGCAGCACTTCATGGTTGCCACCCTCCTCTTCCTCACACCAGAGTACTCCTCTTCTCCCTCTCTGCTCTGTCCCGACTCAGGTCTGGTGTCGGCGGCTCAACTTGGCCTGATGTGTTGTTGGGCACACTTCGGCCCGAGGTGGGTGAGTTCTGCATGACTACCAGGCGTATGGGTGACTGGCTGGGCGGCACCGGCGCACTGTCAGGGACATACTCCTTGGTGGGGTCCTTGCCTCGGCAATCGTAGAGGATGCAAGAGATCAGGAAGACCAGGAGCAGGATGACATAGCTGGCGACCAGAATGATGAGGTTCAGGGTGACGGGGTCAATTTCCAGGTAGAACTCCATGAAACCCATAGTGATGCTTCATATCCCTGATCCTAACCCAGATCCAGAGAGAGGATGAAAAAGCAAGAGAGGGAAGTCGAGAAGAGACTCTGATGTAGGACAATGGATGGACAACTGGCCTGAAAGAGAGAGAAAAAGCAAAAGACAGACGAGGACGACATCAGAGGATGAAATGAGATGGATCAGCTGGCTGTGAGGGAGGGGCGGGGTGGGGTGGTGGCGACAGCAGGCCGAGTGGATATGAGGCTTTGTGCTTTAAAGGACATTAATCCTCACTGCTCCTCCAACCTTGAATTTCAGCAGCCAATGATTAAAGCTGCTCACTTTTAATAACTTAAGCCACCATTTTGATTTTGCCAACTACAGAGCAATGACTAAATCATTCAGAGCAAAATGGATGGTGACGACACACACCTGTCAGCCTGCCATGGACGCTGCTGTGGGGATTTGAGGAGTCATGTAACATGTATTAAACAACAGCTTTATTTTATCAGTCACAGAGATTATTTTAACATTTGAATATGATTACATTAAAAGCGAAAAACAACCCAGAAGTTGGCTGACATCCGGCTCAAGAGACACAAAGTTCCCTTAGTAAATTTTGTTCATGGAACCTCTTCTTGCTGATTTATCAAAATAAAATGCCATCATCTAAAATTACATGGGTTTTAAAGAACCATTCCATCTGTTCTAATGTGAAAAAGAAAGCATGCCCTCTTTTCATCTTTTTATGTATCAGGACACAATGAAAAATCCTCCGGCCCATGAGGGAGTCAGCCAGAAATCCATACAGACTCCATCCCAACTGCTTCCAGAGGATTTGAGGGATTCAGTATCAGCCTCTGATCAGATGTAATGATTAATGATTGCTCTGATAAAAAAGTCTAAAATTTAGCAGCTCTGGAGCATACAGGTGTGTGTTAGCAAAATACCCATGAGGAAACATTGAGCAGGGCTAAAGGTCATTCCCTTCGTTTGTCGGAAAGAATATGCAGAGGTGAAAAACTGGGTCTGTGATATGATGAAATGATGTTGTTTCATTGAAACTTGTTTATTTTGTTTTATTATATTATCAATGGCGTCAATTTTTTCACCACAGCCGTGTGGATGAGGAACACTTGACAACACAGCACCAGGTCACTCCAGACCAAAACCCACCAACCAAGGACTTTGTTCAGTTCAGTTCAGTTTGGTTCGGTCAGAGACAAGACATAAAAAAAAACATTCTAAAGAAGCCCTTATCCTGTCCACAGACCCTTTTGCCAGGGGCGAAGAGTCAATCTGTCTGTGTGTGTTTGTTTAGACCGTTGTTGATCACTGTAGTGTTCGAGGAAACAAACTATGAGATGGGTGCTGACGCAACACTCACTCATATAAACTAAAACGGAACCAGACGATGCATCACGAGCCAGAATTCTTTCCAGAACAATCATCAGCATCCAGAATAATAACAATAATAATGCATTGAACTTATATAGCGCTTTTCTAGACACCCAAAGACACTTTCTCACACACTCACATTCACACACTGCTAGTGATGGTAAGCTACTTGTAGTCACAGCCGCCCTGGGGAGGTCTGACAGAGGCGAGGCTGCCATTTGGTGCCATCGGCCCCTCTGACTACCACTAACACAGGCAAGTTGGGTGAAGTGTCTTGCCCAAGGACACAACAGCAGGATACCCCTGGCAGGAGCTGGAATCGAACCCATGACCCTCCAATCATGAGGCAACCCGCTCTACCTCCTGAGCTACTGCTGCCCCAATCAGGCTGATCTCTGAAACCTCTCATCAAGACTCTGACAGTTAAAAACAAAAACGAAACAAGAAGTTGTCAGGTCCCTCCAGCAGCAGGAAGAAGCTAATCTGCATTTAGTAATTACTTGTTGAAGACACTTTGAGCTAATGGGAGGCTGGATTAGACAGAGACACCCAGATTTGACAAATGGGGAAATTAATCCATGCTGCTAAATTCAGACGATGGAGCTGAGAGCGATGAGACTGGACCATTGAACATTTCTGGTTAAATAATCCTAAAGGTTGGGAAACTTGTTTGAGTGGAGAAGAATCTAAAAGGTCCCAACTTTAGTGGCTTTTGACCTCAACTGGGTCTAATAAAAAGCTTTATAATGTTTCTCATTCCCTCAAAAAATTTCTTCCATATATTTAATCATTATAAATGTTCTAGATCCAGTTTGTTGTCAGCGTTTTCCTGTAATTCAATCCCAGCTGAGAGGTTTAATCTCCCCAGTGACTTCTAGGTTGACCTAGCTGGTTATTTCCAGTAAAACCATCACATAAGAATATTCAAACCATTTGAATATGATTATTGAAAGGTCACATCCAGCAGAATAAAGAGGAACGTCTGACTGTGTCTGCTGAAATCAGCTGCAAAGAGAATCCATTCATCTTTGTTTAGTGGACACTATTATTCAAGTGACTCACAATTGCAAATGTAGCAATGCAAGTAATTCACCAAGCATGTGTCTGAGGAGCAAACCAAGGTACCAAGAGAAAACACACTCACATGTGGAGAAAATGCAAACCCCACACAGAATGAGTGCAGTCAGGATTCAAACCTGCAGCTATATGTCTACCGACTGAGCCACATCCCGCTCTAAAGTCAGGTTGTAGAGGAGCTTTGGTAATGCAATCTGCTGAAACCGGACCAAAATGTGACATTTCAACTAGACCCAAAGGAAAACTCATGACAAATGTGCTTTTTATTAACTCAGTTACTGATGCAGGACTTTTATTTAAAGGTGTGAAAGACTTATTTGCAGTGGTCTCTAGAAGGAATAAATACCTTGTAAGTCATTCTCGGGGGCCAAAAACATTGGTGCACCATTTCCAGGAACTAGAGGAGAGCCACATCCCAGTTAGCCTAGTTTGACCTTTCTCAGTGGCCTAGTGGTAGAGTGTCTGCCCTGAGACTGGGAGATCAGGGGTTCGATTCCTGGTCGGGTCATACCAAAGACTTTGAAAAAATGGGACCAAATGCCTCCCTGCTTGACACTCAGCATTAAGGGGTTGGATTGGGGGGTTAAACCACCAAATAGTTCTCGAGCGCGGCTGTGTCTGCTGCTCACCGCTCCCCCAGGGGATGGGTCAAATGTGGAGAATAAATTTCGCACACACACCTGTGTGTGTGAGACAACTAATGGGACTTTAACTTTAGCTTCAGACGGTAAGTTTTGGAGTCTTATTTCCAGATACGTGGACATCTCACCTTGGATTGGATAACAGTAACGTGACTCTATTGCTGACTTGCAACATGGATGTTTTATCTCCACAAATAACACAGGCCTGGAGGAACGTCTGCTGTGTGGTGGAGTTGCTAATGCTAATGGTTAGCTTCAACTTGCCGAGACATTCTCTGCTGTTTAATAGATGCTCAGCAACAGCCTCCCCTGTCTTGAGTTACAGTAAGGTGGGTGAGTCCATGAGTGTTAAGTGTCAGTGTGATGTGATGTCAGGAACTATTTGATAGTTGAATCCCAACCCCCCCCCCCCCCCCCCCCCCCAATCCAACCCGTTAAATCTGAGTGTCAGTGGGGAGGCATTAGGTCTCTTGTTTAAAGTCAAAGACCCGACCGGGATTTGAACCTCGGCACTCTACCACTAGGTCACTGAGAAGGTGGTAATGCAGGAGAAAGGTGTATGAGGCTATTTTCATGTTCAACCTGCATAAAAAAAACTTAGGGAAACCAAATAAATCGGAAATGATGACTAAAAATGTTTTTTCAGTGTTCCATACCTTTAAAAAAAATCTATATTTCAATGAAAATTTGCTTTACCCATTAATCAGATTGATTTCCTTTCCTCTTAGTAAACCTATTTAGTCTGTCGGTATTTTGCTCCTCAGGGTTAAAACCTGCTTAGGCCACATATCCAACAATAAAGACTTTTCAATGATTTCTGATGCAGCCTCATCTTACAAGCCATTGTGGAACACATCGTAAACTTATAGTCAGCAAACTGTCCGCCGAAAACTCTCAGCTCCCCTCATGTCTAAATATAACAAAAAGATTAGAAGAGGATTTCCAGTCTCCTCAAAACATTTTGTAAAATAACAGAATCCGGAAATACCTCTCAGAGCAGAGACACCTAAATTCCTGACCGTCCTTGGCAGCAGATGGTGAGCTCAGAGGGAAATGAGGGCAGGGTAAAAACAACAGTGCAGGAACATTTAGCAGGGTGGTTATTATTCAGTGAAGGGACACCAAAATAAGCAGCAGCGCGCCGTTATTAGAAACAGCTGCTGACAAACTGATGAGTAGAAGATGCTTCTTCTGTAGGACCAGTCCTCTCAGCTGCTCGTCTTCCTCGTTTTATCTAAATATTCACACAACGTATCATTTCATTTAGCTAAATTTCATGGGGTTGTCCAGTAATCGTACGGGTGCAGGTTCGAATCCCGGCTCCGGACAGAGAATTCTGCTGTTGTGTCCTTGGGCAAGACACTTAACCCACCTTGCCTGCTGGTGGTGGTCGGAGGGACGGGTGGCGCGTGTGCTCGGCAGCCTCGCCTCTGTCAGCGCGCCCCAGGACAGCTGTGGCTACAATGTAGCTCATCACCATCAGTGTGTGAATGGATGAATGATACATTGTAGTGTAAAGCGCTTTGGAGTCCTTACTCTGAGAGGCGCTACACAAGTGCGGGTCATTTATTTAAATAATGCATCATAAATATATTATTAAATTATTAACCCTCAAGGTAGGTGTTGCAGATTTGCAGCAGTTAAAACCTACCTAGCTGGTTACTCCACATACGTATTTCATGAGCATTTACTCAGAAGTACCCCTGAAGGACTTAGTTGTTCGTCCTTTCATCAAAACTTAATTTGAGCCTGAGAGGGTTAAAAGCTTTAGATAAACTGGTAATAAAAATGGATGTGACTGGGAAGTTGTTAAATTATCAGATAAAACCAATAAAGATGTTTGTTATTGTACATACAATGCTTACATACGTCCTTTATGAAACCATTTTTCAGTTTAATGTAAAAAAAAAAACAATTTTTAAAAATGTGGGTCAGTTTGAGCTTGTGTGTGGGGGGGGGGTGAGAGAGAGAGGGCGAGAGAGGGAGAGAGAGAGAGAGAGAGAGAGAGAGAGAGAGAGAGAGAGAGAGAGAGAGAGAGAGAGAGAGAAAGTTCAGATGTGACGATAAAAATCCTGTCAGAAATCAGGCTAATTTCTTCTGCGCTCACTGTCGTTC